CAGACAAAGGGTTTGGCGGGGAGCCCCCGCCGAGACGGCACCCCTTCCCCGCCCCCAGGCAGCCGCCCTGCTCCAGCACCCCCCAGCACATCCTCCTCCTTTTCCTAAAACTTCTGGTAAAATACACATAACATAACGTTTGCCTTTTGATCCCTTTTTCAGTATACACTTCAGTGGATTAACTATATTCCCAGGCTTGCGTTACCATCACCGCTGTCTAGTTCCAATATTCCCATCACCCCACACAGAAATTCTGTGCCCGGGAAGCAGTAACTCCCACTACGTGCCCCGCCGGCCCCCATAACCCCCATACCCCGTGTTCTGCTTTCTGTCTCTGTAGATTTCCCTATTCTGCACATTTCACGTAAATGGAATCGTACACTGTGTGCTCTTCTGTGCCTGGTTGTTTTCACGTGGCATCGTGTCTTCAAGGTCCAGAGCATCCCGAACTTCCTCTGGATGCACCCCGTTTTGCTTATCCCTTCATCTGCAGTGGACACCCTCCTTCCTGACACTCTCTCCCCGGCAAAGGCAGGAGGCAGCCTCTTGGGCCCAAACTGGCTCAATACGCTTCTCCCCTTTTAAAGTGACTTTTTGTTGTTTTCATTCGACCTCCATATTTCGGGCAATTTCTGCGTGCTAGGACCCAGCAAGGAAGATCCATCCACTCCCCTCGCTTTACAGCGAACTGAGGTTTCTGAACGCTGTTCCCGCAAGGTCACAAAGCGGACAAATCGGAGTCCGGATTTGAGCTCTGGAGCCAAACAGAACAGGACCGGCTGGCTGGCCCGTGGGGTGGGTGCTGTCATCGTCCCCACTTCACAGAGGAGGACGCTGGCTTTGCCTGACCCCAAACATGATGGTTGTACTCTATGCCGGCAATGGCTTTACAAAGAGTCACCTTAAAAGAAAAGAGTCACCCAGGGGTTCCCCTGAGAAGGTGGCTCTCCCCGTGCATCCCGGGTAATGGCCCAAGTCCAGGAGGCTCATTCCTCAGTTTCCCCTTTCTGCCAAAGCACTGAAGTGCACCCGTTGTTTTGTCAGTAGAAGATGATGCCCAGGTCCCTGCTGTCCCCCCAGCGAGGGACAGAGGAGCCATGTGGACAACCCAATGCGCACGGGGTGCTAGCTTGGCTTCCCTCACGTGCTAAGGCATCTGATCCGCACAGCTGGCCTGGGTGGGGGGGATGCTATCATCCTCCCCATTTCAGGGATAAAGAAACGGAGGCTGGGAAGTAAACCGACTGGCCCAACATCACCCAATAGCACCGAACTCCACTCGGGCCCATCGGGGACTCAGCGGCTTGGAAGTTGCAATGGGTAGGAAGCATAAGGAGGCTCCATCTGTGCGGGATGGTTCTGCCCTGCCTCACCTGAAGCACCACCTGCGGTCTGGGGTGCCGTCTGAGCTCTTGCCCACGGTCACCATCTCGCCAGAGCGGAAGGCCTTCCTCAGGAACACGGGGAAGGAACGCTCGATGTCCAGAATGGTGGTGGCCCACTGCAGGGAGGAAGGGGCGGGCAGGCCATTGGTGAGCACCCGCCCCCCACTCCCCTCCCCACCGCCTACTGCCCTCAAGGTGCCAGGGTGGGCGGGGTTATCCATTCCACTACCCACAGGGGCCCCGGCAGGAGCACAAATGAGTGAAGTAGGATCCGAGCCCTGTGACGCACTCACAAGGTCACCACTCGCTGTGGGGAACACTAGGGCGGGGTGGGGACTGGGGCAAACCAGGGAGCATCCGCCCCGCGTAAAGGAGACAGCTGCTGTCACCCATCCTCGCACACTGCCAGAAAGGAACGCGGGCCCGCCTTGCCAGGCTTCCAACTTTCAAGAAAGGCCAGAAGTCTGGATTTTTTACGTGCTATCTCTTAACTGTAAATTTTTGCGTTCACTTTTTTTTAAATATGGCAACGCAGAAAATAAGTAAATAAATCTTTGCTGGTCAAACCCAGTCTACAGGCTGCCAGTCTGCGTTTTATGAGTTACACCCAGTGGGGAAACTGAGGCCTGGGGGAGTAAGTGGTGTGCGTAAAGAGCAAGAGAAGCCTGGGGCTGGTAAAAGCCCCCCCGATACAGATACTGGTATCTCCCTGCGCTGGGGTGGCCCACATCCACGCCAGCCTCATCTCTTGGGCTGTTGCGGGGGGGGGCCCAGAAGCTGCCCTCAGGCTTCGCACGGGGTCCCTGCGGAAATGCCCACGCTCTCTGAGCACCCTGTGCCAACAGAGCTCGCTCAGGGTCCCGGGGGAGCCGGATGTGTCCCG